TGTGTCAGCATTTGTCCTAGAAGTACTGAAGAAGAATTTCATTAGTTCAGAGTCTCACATTCCCAAGGGAAACAATACCTACAGATTCTGCAGGCAGAATCTCTCTTTGGGGCTAAAGCATAAGCCCAGGGATCAGGCTAAGAATCTAACATAACGCTATCTTATCCAACCCTTCCCTTCCTTGAGACTCTATAGCACTCATCTACAGTTCTAAAGACCATCCTGGCTGTGCAAAAATGACTTGAACAACTCAGATTTTGATCAAAACTTTATCTCTAGCAAGTAGCACAACATGACTGTTTATGAAAACTACCCCAAAACTAAATTTGAGGAAACAAATTCATCTAAACTCATTGATGAAAGACATGTCCAGAAATGTCTGACTGCCAGTCACACATACAACTCAGTTTGGGATCTGATTACTTCACTAGCTCTAGAAAAATTCATCTGTCTGTGGGTGATAGAGCTGAAATGCTACCATTTTCAGAGACTTCTCAAGTTCTTTTTTCTTTCTTTTTTTTTTTTTTTTTTTAGAAAAACAGATAAAAATGGCTAGAGCTTTATTGTTTGGAATCTATGAACAAAAAGGAATGGAAACAATTTATTTCTCTCTCTCTCTCTCTCTTTTTTTTTTTTTTTTTAGCATGCATAGATTTACTTTATTCTTTAACAGCTTCCAACATATGATTGTGTGGAAATAACACATTCTTTTGCATCAGTTCCCTATTGGTCAACATTTAGATTATCTATAATCAGTTACTACATCAAACTAAACAATAAAGAATATCTTTACAAGTATGTCTTTGCACTTTGTGAAAGTACATCTCTAGGCTCTTAAGAAGCAATTAACTAAAATTTATATAGAATCCAAATGCTCCAGAATAGTCAAAACAATTTTGAAGAAATACAGTAAACTATTCACATTATCTGATTTCAGATATAGTTTTTATATAATTTTAGTGTAAGTACAATTAAATAGATGAATATGACATAACATACAGAGCAGAAATAAACCAGTTTAAAGATACCAAAATATCAATGAGGAAATAAAATCCTTCAATAATCAACTAGAAGGAAACTATGGAAAATGTGAACTTCAACTTCTACCTCAAATTCATTTACAAAAATTAATTTGCTTTTCATTAATTTTATTTTTTTATTTTTTTAAAATTTTTTAAACTTTTATTTAATAAATATAAATTCCCAAAGTACAACTTTTGGAATATAGCGGCTTTTTCCCCCCATAACCTCCCTCCCACCTGCAACCCTCCCATCTCCTGCTCCCTCTCCCATCCCATTCACATCAAGATACATTTTCAATTATCTTTATATACAGAAGATCAACTTAGTATATACTAAGTAAAGATTTCAACAGTTTGCACTCACACAGAAACACAAAGTATAAAGTACTGTTTGAGTACTAGTTATGCCATTAATTCACATAGTACAACACATTAAGGACAGAGATCCTACATGGGGAGTAAGAGCACAGTGACTCCTGTTGTTGATTTAACAATTGACACTCTTGTTTATGGCGTCAGTAATCACCCTAGGCTCTTGTCATGAGTTGCCAAGGCTATGGAAGGAAGCCTCTTGACCTTATTTAGAAAAGGTCATAGTCAAGGTAGAAGTTCTCTCCTCCCTTTAGAGAAAGGTACCTCCTTCTTTGATGGCCTGTCCTTTCTGCTGGGATCTCACTCATGGAGATCTTTCATTTAGTGTTTTTTTTGTTTGTTTGTTTTTTGTTTGTTTGTTTGTTTGTTTTTTCACAGTGCACAGTGTCTTGGCTTTCCATGCCTGAAATACTCTCATGGGCTTTTTAGCCAGAACTAATTGCCTTAAGGGCTGATTCTGAGGCCAGAGTGCTGTTTAGGACATCTGCCATTCTATGAGTCTGCTGTGTATCCCACTTTCCATTTTGGATTGTTCTCTCCTTTTTAGTTCTATCAGTTAGTATTAGCAGACACAAGTCTTGTTTATATGATCCCTTTGACTCTTAATCCTATCATTGTGATCAATTGTGAACTGAAACTGATCACTTGGACTAGTGAGATGGCATTGGTACATGCCACCTTGATGGGATTGAATTGGAATCCCCTGGCACGTTTCTAACTCTACCATTAGGGGTAAGTCCAGTTGAGCATGTGCTGAACTGTACATCTCCTCCCTCTCTTATTCTCATTCTTATATTTAACAGGAATCATTTTTCAGTTAATTTTAAACACCTAAGAATAATTGTGTGTTAATTAAAAAATTCAATTATATTTTAGTTTTGATTTTTACATTTTTTAATTTATTAGCATATAAAGAACATATTTCATAATATAATTCCAAGAATACAATGATACTTTCTTCTTCCCTTCTCTTTCTTTTCTTGCCTTTTTTCTTCAAATTTTTATAATAATATAATTTCTGTTTACTTCATAATCACAGGTTCAAGGCTCTTCTAAAGAAAGAGCTCTACAAGTAAAAGGTAGATGAACTGCTGTTCCACAGTGGTACAGATGTGGGTAATCAAATAATAATATATCAGCTTAGCTCAATATATTCTAAAGGTTTTTTTTTTATCCTCTTTATATTAGCTAAAAACAATCAGACAACCTGATATTTGTCTTTTGGGGTTGGGTTTATTTCATTAAGCATGCTGGTCTCCATTTGCATCTATTTTGCTGCAAAAGACAGGTTTTCTTTTTTATGGTTGAGTAGCATTGCATTATGAGTATATACCATCATTTCTTTATTCATTCATTAGTTGATGGACATCTGGGTTTGGGTTGAAGTACCTGTAGGAAGAAGTAGGGTTTCCAAATCAAATAGATCCAGATAAAATTTTGTCTTTTCTTTCCTGTCTTCCCTTGGGCAATTGCATCCATTCATCATTTACTAGGCACTGATGCATCACAGGGTAGTTTCGGAGCCCTCTTCAGGCACAAAGTATGTGCTGATAAATAAGGCAGCTTTTAAATTCCCTTGTCAGGAAATTGAATTTCTTGTGAAGAAGGTGGCTACATCAGGTATGAGTTATTGTAATTATGTAGTCAATTCTCAGTTTCATTAACTGAAAGGCTTAGGCATAATATCTGCTTCACTGGATTATTTAAGGATTGCATAGCTAAAATACATAAAGCACCCAGCAGACCAACTCAAAGAAGACGCTCAGGAAATGTGAAAAGCAGCAGAAAGCAGATGAGAGAGCATGGAGTGATGCTGTGGGGCACACTCTGGAGTGCATCAGTATCACCTAGGGAGCTTTGCAAACACACTACAGATGCTACCCTCTGGAGATTCAGATTCAGTAGATCTGGAATGGTGGCCAACAAGTTGCATTTTTAGGATTTCCCAGTTGTTGCAGATGCTCTTGGTCTGAGAACCACATTTGAGAACTACTGGGGAATCAGATATTATGCCAACTTTACTTCAAAGTTGCCTTTCAGGATATTTATGGTTATACTCAAATATTCTAAACTAAATATCTCTCAGTTTTTAATCACATATCTACAAAACTGAGGATAATAATATTTCACCGGACTGTTTTGAGAGGACATGATAGTATAGTTTGACCTGTAGTAGTAGAAGAGCAATAAATTTAAAATAATTGTTTAACATTACAGTCTTCATTTCTCTAAGCTCTAAAATTACTGTCTAACTCTTAGCAGTTTCTAATTTTTATGAAAGTAATTTTGTAACATTATGTTTTCTACTTGACAGATCCTCAAGAGAAAGGATATAATTTTCTACTTTGCTAGCCTAACAGTGCCTGGACTGTCATAGAAACTCCCACAATAAATGTGCATTATCTTTTTTTAGATTTATTTATTTATTTGAGAGATAGAGTTACTTATAGAGAGAGAGAGACAGAGAGAAAGGTATTCCATATGTTGGTTCACTCCCCAAATGACTGCAAAGGCTGTAGCTGGACCAAACCAAAGCCAGGAGCTAGGAGCTTCTTCCAGGTCTCCCATGTGGGTGCAGAGACCCAAGCACTTGGGCCATCTTCTGCTGCTTTCCCAGGCCATAGCAAAGAGGTAGGTGGGAAGATGAGCAGCTGGGATATGAACCGGTGTCCATATAGGTTGCCGGTGCTGCAGGTGAAAGCTCCAGCCCCAGGCATATCTTTTTATAACTGAGTCCTTGAACAGATATTATATGTCTCCATCATCTTACTTGTTTGTTTGTTTTTCCAAAATAATCCAAATTCCAATAGAGAGTTAAAATAATTTTATCCTTTTTCAAACACAAAATACCATTGTATATTAATTATTCAGATATGACTTATTCCTAGCATTGGAGTAACTGATCTTAAGCAATTACTTTCTCAGTTGTGATATTGATTTTCTTCTTGTTTTCTGGCCAGTGCTCACAAAATATTCTTTGTAGTCTTTTCACCACACTCCTAATGTTGGTATCCTTGTCACTACATTTTGGAAACCTATTCATTCAAATCAATGGGGCACTCAGGGCCACCTTCATAGATATGTGACTTATGCAGCCAAACAGGACCCCATAGTTCAAAGGGTTCTGTGACTGGTTTAAGGTATGATCACCATCTTTAAATTCTTAATTTTTAACAACAGATGATATATTTTTCTTTTGCTTTGGACTCCACAAATTATTGAATTTGTCCTGCTGACACTAAAGCTGAATGTAAAGAAAATGTGGATGCTACATTAACAACCAAAAAAATTCTTCTGTCATCTTCTGCCAACTCATTTATAGGTTTCTCAAACACTATATAATCTTGGGACAACCACTTCAATTTGCTGAGTCTGAACTACCTCATGTATAAAACTTCATTTTAGCTGAGTGCTCTTTTATGCATTTATATTGCTCAAATATATAAATAATTAATTTTAAATACAGAGAACTTTACAACTTAGAAAAAAGACCTTTTACTTTAGGGAAGCACATTTTCTAAATGTATGAAATCTCTTTCAGAAGAGAAACAGATGACGAATGTACCCTAAGTTACCATAATAGTCTCAATTCATATAACTATATACCTTGCATTTCCTGGGGCTAGTGAATCCAGAAAGCTTCCCATACCTTAGCCTGAAAAAAAAAAAAAAAGGCACATCAAATACAAGCTGAGCCTCCTAATTACCAGGAATCCAGGGCCTATTAAACTGTGAGGATGCATATGCACACCTAATTATGTTTATGCCTACTTATAAATCAGCAAAGTGAAAGCATATGCATGCAGAAAATTACCCATCATTAACTTTCCTAATTGCACCCAAATAAAGAGGGATGTAATTCACTTCAGAATATGTTTTCATCCTTTGGGCAAAGCCTGCGCTCATCTTGTTTAGGTTTTGAAAAATTGTCTTCTTGCTCATAAATGGAAATCAATTATTTGGATGCCAAAACACAACATAGTACTTTCCTGGGTGTTGAGCCAGAGAAAATGAAACAATTCAGATATGAATGTCAGAAGACTAGAGCAGGGATCTAGGAGGCAAACAGCACGGAGAGGAAATACTAGGTAAATGAAAACAGTTCTGTCATTCTGATGAAGAGAGCAATGCAGATGGTGACAGGCCAACCACAGATACAATAGGATGCAGCAACTGGGAGACATCCTCAGGGAAAAAAAAAGCATTAAATTTAGATGTTGGACAAAGACTCAATTTCATGACAGTAATTGAGATCAATTGCAGCACTGTCTGCTCTCCCCACTCTCAATTTCCCTTGTACTTTCTCTGAACAATTATTGTTCTATTACTGGCAGGATTAAGATAAGAGAGAAAGGAGTTGTGCATGCCTAATTGGATTTCAATAGATGGTCTATTGCCTTCCTTAGAGGCAGGAAGCAGAATGGAAAGGGGTGGAGCAAAAAAAGGGGGCCATAATGGGAAGTCATTTTTGTGTTAATTTAGATGTTTGGAGTTCTAAATAAGAAATTTGAGTCAGTGCCTTGGACAATAGCTCCCTCCTAGGTGCTTTCCATGTGTCATCTCATTTTTCTCATTTCACCTGCACACACACACACACACACACAAAATAAAAAATTAAATTAAATTAAAAAAAAACAAACAAACAAACACGTGGGAGGTTTCTGCTTTTGGGCCCATTGCACAGATGAAGAAGAAGGAGATCAAGCACCAGCCTCTTTCTGACTCTTAAGCTCTTATTTCAGTTTGTACTGCCACACAACCAAAGGTAATCTAAATTCCCAGATAGGATCATTTGCATTTTGACAAACATGCAAATGGACTTTTATTTTGTTCTTCAGTTTATTGTTGTTTCTTTTTTTTTTTTTTAAAGTAACACAACTGAATTAATGAATCTTTGTGAAATGCAACTTGTACCATATACCCTTACTAGCTTTGGATGATCTATGCTAACACAATGTTTTCATTTGTGTCTGCCTCTGCGGTGCTGCCGGTGATAAGCGGTGGATAGCAGCTCCAGGTGCTTGCTGTACGTGGCTCTGGCCTGCTCTCTGAGTGTTATGGACGCTACCCTAGTTTCCAGACTTCCCCTCTCTCCTACCTGAACTAAAGCCTTCACTTTCCTAGATAGCTCTTGCACTAAATAAAAGCTTAGAATGTACCATGCTGCCTCATTTATCCACGCCACTATTTAGAATTCTTCTCTAAATATTAGGCAAGAACCCTCTTGGGCTTACTAATACTGGGGATTTATTAGTAAGCATATGGTGAAATCGTATGGCACCCCAAATTCTGGTAGCACATGTGGCATCCCAGATAGCAATCTGGGGAACTTTAAGGGGCCACATTTTAGTGTAAATTTTAGGGGATCATGTCCGATTTCAATATCAATGCTGTGTAAGTATACTTTGTACAAATTATCCCTTGTATTGGAAAACAGTCTGATTAAATTAGACATTGCTATAGACAAAGAGTGACTAGATTCAAGCATCTTTTATTATCCCATGCCCCAATTATGTTATACACAAATACTGAAACTAAGCCTCCATCTGCAAGGAAATACAAGTATATGCTCACCATCCAGCCACCATTAAAGCTCATGTAAAGAGAAAATTCAAGGAACGCTTACATCAAAATGACTCTATCCCTAAAAAAACTTTGTCTTCTACATTCCTGCTTGCTTTCCCACACTGGAACACTGGAAAGGAGTAAGTTCTAGAAAACCTAAGGCTCCCATTTATCTTCACATTTCTTGCCTGTCTGTCATTTTCTCTGTTTTCTTTGTATGATACCATAGCCTACCCCCATCATGAAGCTAAGATTCTGTCATGAAATCCAATCCTGTTAATTTTATTTCCTTCATATTTGTCCTGTGTTCAGCTATTTGATGACATATAGCAGCCTCCTACTGGTTTTCCTTGCTTCCAATTTCTTTGCTGTTTTTCTGCTCTCTATAATTACGAGTGACATTATGATCATGTGTCTCCATGTCCCAAAACTCTTCTAATCACACATGAATAAAATCCCAACTTGCTTTCATTGCATACATGATCACTGTAATCTTTCTCAGCCTGCCTCTCCATGCTCAGCTGCTGTGGTCTCCCACTTGCATTGTAGGATGCAACCCTTGGTTAATTACAGAAACATATGAAGTTCCCCAAACAATTTTTCTTTCAACCTTCATGCATTTGCTGTGTTGTCCCTGTTGACTACCAACCCTGTAAGGTCCAGCTCAGAAACCTCAGGTCCAAGAAATACTCACCAACATCCCAGATTAATTTGAGTTCTTCCTCTGTGCATCCCTCCACTAACCATAACCCATCCATCCCAAACTCAGCAATCACTGATTCATTTTCTATCTCCACAGACTTCCATGTTCTGAGTATTTCATATGCAAGGAATCACATAAAGTGTTCTTTTGTGTCTGGCTTCTTTAAAGTAGCATACTGTTTCCAAAGTCCATTCCTATTGTAGTATGGATCAGTTCTTCATTTCTTTTCTTTACCTTGCTTATGTTGGCTGATCTTCCATATTTAAGAATAGAAACACCCTTGCATGAGAACAAAAAGTACCTCCTCCCTGGATTCTGCCTTTATAGGACAGTTCTATAACTTTTCTCCACCTTTACCCTTTCTCATAGGTAAGTCCTCAGGTCTATTTCCAAGCTTCCTGAGACTAGAATGTCATTGCTAAATAACCTGGGACCCTTATATCTTCTCAAGGCCATTTCTCCCAAGAGTGAACTTTAGAACTGGTATGGGAGCTATTTGTGATGGAGTATGCATGGAGGATTTGACATGTGGGCTAGGGTATCCACAGATAGGAAGACAGGTTCCTCACACAGTGCAGTGCTGCTGGAGTTGGGGGAAAAAGGTGGAGTGAAGTTGTGTTTCAGAGGGATCTGAGAATAACAAATTTAAACCAGACCTTTGATATTGTTATAAAGGTAATTGGTCAAAAAGGAGGTGAAACATATCCAATCATTTCTAGTTGACTTATATCTTTAAAATATTTGGGTATATGATAGATATGTTGGCCTCTTTTTGTACTCATGTTCCTAAGGGTAGGCCTTCCTAAAATATACAGGTGTTTTAACAGGTATATAATTATTCCACATCATTTCACTCATAATAACACATTTACAGTAGCTTCCACTGTTAATTTCATAGGTGGTTAAGAAAGATTGATGGGTCAAATATTTGGAATCTGTTAGAAGGGCAGCATTGTGGCTAAGTGGATTAAGTTGCTTCTTATGATGCTGGCATCACATATCAGAGTGCTAGTTCAAGTCTTGGCTAGTCCACTTCAAATCCAGCTTTCTGCTAATGTGCCTGAGAAGGCAGCAGATGATGGTTCATGGCTTCAGCCTGGCCATGCCCTGGCTGTTACAGACACGTGGGGAGTGAACCAGAGTATGGAACATCTGTCTGTCTGTCCCTCTCTCTCTCTCCCCTTCTTGAAGAAAAATTTTAATCATAAAAAAATGCATTGGAATCTTATTTGTGTCCATCATGTTCATTTCCAATCTGTACACCATGTTGCTACGTATAAATTTAGTTCGGAAGCCAATATTATGGGGTTCCATGACTCTCTGTCACATTCTATAGTCATATAATTCTTAAACCACATTGGACCTCTGCATTTAATTGTGAGAGAACGCTTATCCTTTGTGTAGCACTTCCCCTGGTGAAATTCCTGCTGTCCAATAGAAACAGCACAGCCACAGCGCAATGATTGCAACTAATACACTCTCCCAAGTAATTAACATACTCAAACTGAAAAGAGACTTTTTTTCCTGTTTAGCTCAGGACCCATAAAAACTGTTCACTAAGAGAAAGTGAAAATCTCATAATAGGAGTCAACATTGTGGTGCAGAGGGTTAAGCCAATGATGAGAGTATCCTACCTGAGCACTATTAGAATCTCTTAGGCCTCTGAAGCATGAATAGTTAACCCAAAACCCAGTGAACAGGGTGCAGATAGATAATCTAAAGACTAGTAGAATTTTTTTATTGGTCAGCAAAGCCCCTCACCTGGGATATTCCAAGCTGTTTAGACAATACATTGTAAACTTTAACAAGGAGTTTTTCTGCACATCCTCCATCCACCTTATCAGGGTTCATGTGGTGCTCTGAACATTCACATGACCTTCCCCAGGAAGTGATTTAAAAGGGATTCTGCCCACTGCCCAAGCAGAATGAAGCCTGACTTCAAACTCCCTGCTCCCTAACTGGGCAGGCTGAATATCCATTCTGTACTCACTTATTCTATCACTACTAAAATAGTCTTTTCTGCCTTAATTGATTTTCTCTATCCCCCTTTGAACCATAACAACCTGCAACCTAACATATTGGTGCTGAATCCCAGGAAAAGACAGTTTTGAAGTGACTCATCCAAGGGGAGCCTCCACCTGTCCATTGCTCCTTCAATATGCCACACTGGTTGTGATCCTTCCTGGGAAGTGAGGTCAGTTCTTTTGAGTCTTTGTGGATGGCCTTGTTGCATTTCTACTCCAGCTGGCTAAAAAGGCTGGTGCTACCTTGAGGTCCCTACTCCAGGAAGGAGTTGTGTGGATAGATGAGAATTTCGAGATGAAATTGGTAGACATGACTAGAGATATTTATAAAAACTCTTGAATCTGGTAATCAAGTTGTTTTCT